CTAGAGTGAACTGGAATACACTCATGGCAAAGCCAATTAAATTTTGGCTCAGGGAACAGGAGTGGACTGCTAGGATTTAGTGCTGAGATTTTCACAGATACAAAACCACCAGGAGCATTAGTCTCTGCTCTCCCTGATGATCAAAAACATCCTGTTGTGTGACTTACAAGGCTCTGCTGCACTTGATGCTATAAAATATTTTTCCTCCCTTATTCGTTTGTGGCTGGCTGAAGAATTTCTGAAGAGGAAAAAAATCGTATTTAAGCTTTCCTCTAATTTGCAAGATTTGAAGCCTGATGCTGCAGGACTAAAGTCAAGACTTAGAGTCTTAAAGTAAAACTTAGATACTGTGTGGAAAGATGGGGAAGGACTGGAAATTTCACTTAGTATTGGTTATAATCATACCAAAAGAATCTGAATTGAAATTTTTTTCCTTGGGTTTTTTTGTTGTTGTTGTTATTTTTGGGGGGTTTTTTTATGAGAGAGAGAGAGATTCTGAAGAGATTTGTGGAAAATCTTTCTAAACTTGCCCATAAGTCCTCCAAGACAAAAACTCATAGTTCATTTTAATAAAACACAAACTATATTTCATTAACTCTGGAATATATTTTTCCAAATAATGATAAGACTGTAGGACCCTGAGAGAAATGTTACTGAAACTGATACACAGTAATTTGTTTTAAAGCAAATTGACTGTGAAAAGGTAAATGCCAGAGTTGCATCTGTAGAAATTTTTTTCTTGTTTCAGAAGACTCAAATACCTTACCTGATCTGCTGTAAGGTTTTGAGTGGAGGCTGGGGAAATGTCAGTAGTATTTTCTATAATAATATGGGGGTTAACCCATTTCAGTTTTGAAAATTTTTGTAAATTAATAAGATATTCTGCATTATAAGTGATTCCAAACTACAGCATACTGTTCTGTTAGAATAGTGGAAGTGACAGAAAAACAGAATAAATATGGAATTTAAGACCATGAAGCCAAAAGCAATTCAATAAAATCCATTTAATAATAGAATTCACCTCTTCAGTATAGGATATCTCTGGTAGGAAAGCAAATCTTAAATGCATAAATATATATTTATCATTACTTCTCAGTATTTTGGAAATTATTGTCTACCATTTTGTCCATGTTTAGGGTTGGGGTTTTTAATCTATTTTTTTTTCTCATATATCAAGGATGAGACATCCAGGAACTGTTTTATAGAGATGAGTTGTAAAAGCAGGCATGGAGAATATTTTAAAGAAATCTTGTGGTATGGAAATGTGCATTATTTATGTAGTTTCTATAGAATTCTATCCACTTTGCATTTGGTACTATTTCATTGTGTGTGTTCTCTCATTTTGAAATGATATAGGGAACAAGCACTAACAAGTGCAAGTGTTATCAAGTCCCTGGGAGAGCAAAATAAGCAGAAAAATAATTTATGAGTAGCTGATACTTATTTACAGCAAAAAGTTAATTCCTGGTTTGGCAATTTTCTTTCTTTTGCAGCCACAAGAGATGTTTAAAAGGATGGTGGTTTACAATTCATCATTTAGATCTAACAAAAAACAAGTAAAATAACATTTTCCTTGTTTTGTGTGCTACTTCTGGTTTGACTGATCATAGATTTAAAACTTTCCTTTCCAATTCTGTTGCTCAGTTTCTAAAACAGAGGATGCAAGACAGCCCTAGTGCATGAGAACTGCTAGTATTTGTAAGCTTTAAGTGTGTGCTTGTGGCTCCTCCCAGTCTAGGCAGAAGAAGAATGAGAATAAATCCTTCAGGTTGAACCATCTGTAATTTATATGGCTAAGAGCAACCTTTAAGAAAGTTGAACACTGATAACTTGATCTGATACTGGTATTACCAAGATTTCCCTGTTTCTTTTAGTGTCCAGCTGCAATGCTTCCAGTAATAAAATTCTTTATCAGTTTTAAAAACAGAGCTATCATCATAACATAGTTACTGGCAGGAAATCAGAGGAACTGGTGGTGGAAATTCAGCCTTCCTGTATTGTGTAGGATTTTCCAACTGCATTTTTACTTCTGTTGCTTTTCTCTGTCATAAGGATGAAGTTTTTGTCTCTTCGTCTTTGGTTGGCTGGTGGTCCAATGGATGGTTCCTTGAAGAAGTGAACTTTATGCTAAACTTCTTCACTGCTGCCAAATGTGCCAGTTTCTGTACAAGACCCCTTTGTCATTGCTAAGCCAAGTTAGATGCATTGTTGTTATACGAAAAGTTGGCAGACAATAGTGACCTCACAGTGTGAGCTTTTGAGCAGTAAAACATTAATAATTCTTTTTTTCTTCCTTTAATCAGCTTCAATCTATATCTAGAAGGGAAAACTGACTGAAAAAGATACAGCTTTGAGATTATTTATTTGCCAGTAAATGCCAGCATGTTCTGAATATATAACAATTGTGTTCTCAAAAGGGGTGGTTTTTTGAAAAGATTGTTATTTCTGGTCATGACTTGCTCCTTCAGTTATTTTTTGTTGTTGTTGCTGCTTGGGTTTTATTTGTTTTTTTGTGGTTTGTTGTTGTTATTTCAGGTCTCAATTGCTCTTGACTATAAGAAACCAGGGAAGCAGTATCATTAGTATAAGTGCTTATGTTTCAGAGCTTGTTTCTTCTTTAAGTAGTAACTTCAGCTTTCACCTGGAAGTCCAGACAGAGTTGTTTCAGTGCAATCAAATATTTTAGTGTTCCGTTTTCAACTTAAGTTCAGTCCTCTGAATGTTTTTGTAAGTCAAGGGGGGATTTGAATGTTGTTAACTCTTTTACCTGAAATGTCCTGAGTGGTGGGAGGGTAGGATTAGGACTGTGCTTTCCACTTCGTCTTCCTTGGCTCATTAGTCCCTGCTTGGATATGGAGTGCACTCTCTGATTCTGAATTTGTGGTGTCCATTTCAGGGGAGATTTATTACAGTTCAGTGCATGTCTTCTTTCTGTCTTATGTATCTGTGATACACAATGATATGAACCCAAGGGGACAACAGTTTAGGCTGAATATTAGGAATTGGTTTTTCACCCACAAGGTGGTTGGGCACTGGAAGAGGCTCCCAGAGGCATCAGCCTGACAGAGCTCAAGACATATTTGTACAGTGCCCTTGGATGCATGGTGTCACTGTGCAGGGCCAGGATTTGGACTTGGTGATCCTTGTGGATTCCTTCCAACTCAGGTTATTCTATGTTTCTATGAATTTTGCTTGCAGATTGTTTTTTTTGGTGTTTTTTTTTAAATTTTATTTTGTGTGTTTGTTTTTGTGAAGTTTTTTGGGTTTTTTCCTATTTAAAGATTATTTTCCCAGGAAAACTTCTTTCAAGGACAACATCTGTTTTTCATGAGGACAACCTGGGACAAAGAGTTCACTGACTTCCTTTAGATTACATAATGACTTAGTGACTTGGCTGAGGTTGGAGCTCTTTTCTCTAAATTACTTGCTCCAAACCCATAGATATCTACTTTAGCCATGATTCCAAAAGCAGTACTAATTCAGTTATTCAAAGTATTAATTGTTTAGGTAACTTTCATTATAAAATGTTTCTCTTACAGCTTTAGTTAAATGGTTCATAATATTAATACATTTCGTAAATGAATGAATGGTTGATTGAAGTTTTTCCCCCAGGATTAAATTTTACCCTTGCTGATGTCTATGATAAAATTCTCATTTATCTGGTTAACAAATGTAATGCAGTGTAACAAACCCAAATAAGGCAGTGCTGTTATGGGTGAGATCAGAACCCAGAGGCAACCAAAAGAGGTGATAAAGAGTATAGCAGAGGAGGCATTAGTATTTTCTGCTGCAACTTTGCCATTTAACAACCAGCCCTTAAATATACCACAGGAATCTCAAGCTGGGTGTTTGGTTTACAAGTGGAAAAAGGCTTAGCTGAGTCTGACAGTGGAATAGTCTTTGTTGTCAAATGGATCCAGTAGAAAAGATGGCAATAAAGAATATATCAAGCTTGATCACGCACTGAACCACTGGTCTGTGTAAGGTATTGGTTTGCCTGCTGTGTCTGCAAAATGTTGTGTGGTTCTCTGTTCCCGTATCACCCAGTTATTGCACCTTCAGGCCACAAGAGTGGGAACTAGGTGCCTCAGTAAAGATTTTCTTAAGCTCTGAAGTCCTTACTTTAGCATGCAGGGTAAGTGCAGAGCATTCATAAATCCCCAGCATTGCCCATACAGTTTCACCTTGTAGCTATTAATCCTCAAGAAACTGCAGCTCAAACACCATTGACTCCTGATTGCTGATGCAGGAGCTCCGATACTTGCAGAAAAGGTAACTCCTGCTTTTCCCTGCAGTCTTGGTCTGACAAGGGTTGAGCCCCACATTCTGTGGATCCTCTCAAAGCTTAAATCTTGCTGTGCCTAACTGCAGTATCATCTGCATTTCAAACATTCCCTGACAAAACTTTTAAGTCCTCCACAGAACCACATGAAAACAAAAATCATATTGTTGTCCTGCAAATTGTCCAACAAATTGTTGTCATGCACTTCCTTGTATTATGGACCCAACTCCCTGAAACTCCACATGAAGGAGGAGAGAAGGGAGCTGAAAAAGAATCCTAAAACCCAGACAGTGTGGAGTAGTGTTGATGACAGGTGAACTGGAGCCTGTCATTTCTACCTGTTACCATCCAACATGTTGATAATCCCAAGAAATGTTGCTACAAAGAGTGTGGCAGAACACACCTGCCTGTGGTGCTTTCAAGATTTGTTTCTGTTCTGTCAGGTGTAGAGAGGAACCGTGGAGCTGACAGGTGGTAAATGCTTCCTCAGAAATGCTCCATGATATGACCAACTCAAATTATTGATCTGTCATGAGGTTTTGAAATGTCATCTGACTGTTGGGATGGACTCTTTGCTGTCTCTCTGGGCTTTTCTCCAGTTACTGTCTTCTTTCATAGCTTACAGAATTACATGTTCTCTCACTAATAAATAAGATGGAATTTGTGTGTTAAGTGTGTGAGTTGCTGTTTTTGCAATTAAATGTCATTTTATTCTCAGGGCTTCCAGAAGTATGTGGAAGATTTTGATCCATATTCAATGGTAAGGAGAGAATTTAAACATGCCTCACTGTTTAATATGAAATACTCTGGGAAAAAAAGCCAAATCTTTGATTTTGAGGGCTGGGAGTAGGTAAGATTCTTGCTTGTTGCTTTTCTGGGTCTTATGTATTTGTCTTTTCTAGTCATGTAGAAAAGGAGCGTTCTTACAGGAAAAGGTGATGTGGCATTCTGATCTTCCTCTTACACTATTTTAGAGGAGGGAAAGGTCCCTTTTCCCAATAAATTACATAGATCAGCCTAATTTTTTTGTGTTTACAAAGTGGAAATGATTAATCATTATGTCTTTTCACAGTTTACCCCAGACCAAATTATGGGAAAAGATGTACGACTATTAAGAATAAAAAAGGTAAATACTGTGTTGGTTGATAGATATTTAAAAGGTTCATATAAGCATTTGATGTACAGCATCATTTAATGAGAAGTAGGAAAGATTAAGCTCCTGTTAATGGCAAAAATCAATAGACTTCTCAGAACTAGAACCGTTTTTTTCATAGGAAGGGTCACTGGACCTTGCAGTTGAGGGAGGAATTGATTCTCCAATTGGAAAGATTGTTGTGTCTGCCATCTATGAGGACGGTGCTGCAGACAAACATGGTGAGTAACAATGGGGAATTTGAATACTACTGCAAAGTGTCTCCTTACACTGGCTGACAATAGTTGGCTGATTTCATAGCCTGGTACTGAAAGGCTAACTTAGATTGCCCAAGGACCTAAGTTCGGTCTCAAGTTTTAGGGCAGTCCACATAAGCTGCTTAAATTTTAGAAAAAACAACACCTGATTCTCTGGTGTATTAGCTACACTACACTGCTTAGTTTTGTTGTTTTTGCTACCTTGAATGGTGATTTGTCTAGTTAAGCAGCTGGGTGTATTCCCAAAACCCAACTAAAGACCAGAGCCTCTGAAGCTTTGCTCTTGAAGGCACAAGAACGTGCTCACCAACACATTTGGGCTTTGCACCTGGTGGGAAGTACCTGACATCCATTTCTTGAGAACTCTTATGACCTGATCAACAGCGAGGGCAATATTCCCTTACACTGTCTTTGCTGTCCTTGTCCCAGCCTGCACCTAAATTCAAGTCACTCTTGCTGTGAAAACATCTCAGTCATTTGATCTCCTCAGTGCTCTTTTCATTCTTTTTAGGATCTCTCATAGCTAAGGCTGTCCTCTTACCATCTTCTTTAAATCCAGTTCCAGTTAACTGGTCATGCTTCTTTCCAGGTTGGAAGTCAAAATCAGCTCTAAGGAGCAAACACTACACATACATTTGCAAAGCAATGACCATATGCAAACCCTTGACAAACGCCATTTTATTCCTTCATGAATTTAATGAATTTTGCTATTTTTATAGAATCATGAAATTTTTGGTGTTGCAAGAGACCTTATATATCATCTAATTCCAAGCCCCTGCCATGGGCTGGGACACCTTGCCCTACACCATGTTGTTCAAACCTGGCCTTGAACACTTACAGTGATGGAGCATAGTAGTAACATCCTACAGTCAGTCACAGTTTGTAAGCTGTATAGCTGGATTACCCAAGCAGGCAAACAGTGGAAAATCATATTGAATTAGTTTCTTACTGGTCATGATCAATAAGAGATTAGCTTGGCTTTTCCATGCTTAAAAATTCCTTTTGTGTTTGTCTGTAGCAAACTTCCTAAGATTTTTAGTGTAGACCTTCGCATCCAGTGAGAACACTTTTCATTATAGTCTTTACTGCACAAATATGGCACAGAAAACACTCTTAGGATTTTGTTTTGCTTACATGTATGTATAACACATTTTTCTTTTCCCCAGGAGGCATAGTGAAAGGGGATGAAATACTGGCTGTAAATGGCAAGATATTAATTGACAGCAAGCTGGCAGAAGCACAAGCAACTCTAGCAAAATCTTGGAACATGGGTGGGGTAAGTAACCTGGAATACTACTTCATTCTATCTACAGAGATCACATGAGAGCTACTTTTCTGTCATGACATTGTCACGTCAACACAAACAAGATTACAAACACCAAAAGTAGTGGGTATGTCAGGTACTCTCAAAATAAGCTAAAATCTGCAGAAGATGCTGGTATGTAGCATCCTTGAAAACCATGTATGTAATTGACTGGGAAATTTCATGGCATTTAGCCACATGTCAAGATTGGTATTTAAACACATTACATTCTGAGTGTTTATAGCACTTTTATATGTAGAATCACTCTTTGATACTGAAGATTGCAAGCTGATTGGAATATTCTGATAATAGCTTATCTTTAATTTCTTGACGTACAAGCAACATTGCCCTTCAGCTACAGTGAGTGTTTCCACAGCAGGAGCTGTAATCATTGCTCAAATGACCAATAGAGGATGATTCTTAGAATAATTTTTTTGTAAAAATCTTCTTGCAACAGTAGATTTTTCTTTAAATTCAAGATACAAACCAAACAAGTAAATCAGGAATGGTCTTCCTATGGAAGTATTTAATAGAGACCTTGCTGCTGCTCCCTGTGGATTTCTAGGAACAGTTTATCTCCCTGATTATCTATCTGACATTCCATGGTGGAGCACTGGCCACCTCTAAAAGCAGTATTTAGCAGCAGATGTTTGCCTGTGCTTTTCTTTTTCAGGATTGGATTGATTTAGTCATTGCAGCATCACCTCCAAAAGAATATGATGATGAAATGTAAGTGCGTCAGCTTTTTTCTCTGGGGATTAAAAGATAAGTAACAATAACCAGTTTGCTTTTTTTTGTCACACATTTTTCAAGTATCTTCTTCCTCTTATGGACTGTATAACCTCCTGCTTTACATTGTTGCTAATTTGATAGTGATAAGTAGCTGCCATGCATTACAGCAGTGGTTCCCAGACTGCAAAACTGTGATTCTCAGAATTGGTTGTATATGACTACACACTCATTCTTTCAGTTTAAAGTTTGAGGATTTGGGCTTTGGTTTTTTTTAGAAGTTGCACTTAACTTCAGTCTGAATCATTCACTCTAGATCATAATTTAGGGAAACAAATTCCCGTAAGCATTCTGTATCACCACCAGACGTTTAATTCTGTGTTTTGGTTTGATTTTTCTTAATTAGATTGCAGTTACTGTTCTTGTCGAAGAAAACTTATGTAAAATTTTCAGAAGATGAAGTGATTTGGGTGTCTTGGCAGTGTTCATAGAATCCTTGTTTTAAAGATCATCAGCATAGGTGTGAAACAGAAGAATCTACAGCTACAAGTGTGATAGGGTTATCAAATCTATGCAACTTGCTTTATGTTGGACAAACAGTTTCAAAAGCAAGACCCGTATTTTCTAGTTTGATTGAAGGAGAAGATTTGAAGATATCCTTACTACCAAGTAATATGGCAGAGCAAGGTTTTCTAGTCACTGTTAACCTGGGTTCCTGTTCTGTGCAGAATGCTAGATATTCTTAATATAATACAATTACAGTAAATCAGTTTTACTGGCTAATACCAACTGTAGATTGACATGAAATTTTGTTTAATACCTGTGCATAAACTAGCAGGCAAGTAAATAACTCTATCATTGTTATTTTTGTTTTCATATCTTGTATATTTAGCCCTACCATTCCCTCATCAGCAGTCAGTCCCAACACACACAGAAAGGTTTTTGAAGGCAGTGCACCTGTGTACAGACAAGGGTATCTCCTGCAGCTGTAGCCACTGCAGTGTCCCTCATGGTGAATAGCACGCCTGGCTTAACATGACTGGCCACCGTGAGGCTGTGTTATTTTTTCAGCATGTGCCTGCCTGTGCATTGCTTGCCATCCTTCCTTTTGTTCTTGGCATGCTGGAGCTGGAGTGTTCTTTGGGCTTTTGCCATGCCTGTGCTATTAAAATATAAGTATTTAGTTTCTACTTCATAAAGTCCCTCAGAGATCCTCTGCAGAATTGGTTTTATCACCTGCCAGATTATTAAATAAATAGGCCCTGTCTAAACAAGGAGGATTAACCTAAGGTTTTTTCCTTATCTGTGGACCATTGCTGTGGCTTTGGGAGTTCATAAGTATATAAGCAACTACAAATTATTTTCTTGTGAAGGCTTGTCCAAAGAACAAGTTTCCATTTAGATTATTCACAGTGTGCCTGTAAACAAGTATTCATGAGTGTTTGGTTTTTACCGAAATTCATTAATTTGTCATATACCTATACAGTGGGTTTGTTCTGAAATTATCCTTGTCTCAGAAATTCAGTTTCCTGTGTATGGTTTCTCTGTGGCTGTAATCACTGTAAGTACAGTCATAGATCTCTAGAATTACCAAGGTAAGATTTCTTGTTGCATGTGGGTCTTCTCAATTATTACTTACAATACAAATCAAAACTACTTAAGATCCAGTTTAAAAACTGTGCTTACTAGAAAGATTAAAAGTTGCATGAGAGCTAACAGCACATTTCTCCCTATTTGTTTCTTTTTTACCACAGGACATTTTTTTAAGGAAGACTACAACTACTGGAATGGAATCTTTCCTCAGCAGAAACCTGCTGCTCAGTAAATTAATAGAGAATCAATAACCACATGAAATGCTTCTTTATTGACTGACCTGTAAATTGAACTAGAAACTTCTGATAATTTGAATAATTTATTATCATTTTATAGACAAACAGCAAAACTTTTTTTCCAGCATGATTAAAAAGAACTGCTGACCAGCATAGTTCAGACTGTGAGCACTCGATCTCTTTTTGCTATTTTGAGGGGCCAAATTTTGCAGATCATCTTTCATTTTTCCTGGAAATAGACTCTAAAATGACAAATGAAGATAGAACACAGATGTCTGTTCCCACATGCAGCACTTGTGAATACACATTCACAGGCCAGTTTGGGTGTGAAAAAAATTATATTTTTACTTCCTAGATAGTGATTTTCCTGGGAAAATAGGAAAGTACACAGGTAACTCCTGTTCTCATATTCCTATAGCTCTCTTAATGTCCATTTTTGTGTCTCAGTTTTGAGGGTTTTTTGAGCATAAAGACCTTACTGGTGGAAGAACTGGGATACCAAGAATGTGAGCATTATAATGAATAATTTTGATTGTGTTGTCCACACAGTACAGAGAATCTTCTGTACCAGCAGGGTAAATAACTAGCAAGTAGCTCAGATAAAATCATTATGCATAGTCACACTCATACTCCTGAGTACTTGTATTGGTGGCAAAAATTCCTCCCTCATATAGTCATGGGTGGAAAATTTGGGTGTGATTCACAGTCTGCTGTTTTGTACTTTGTTCTCAGTGAGCCTATATATGTAACTAAAGTGTGCAGGAAGCCACTAAGTGTAACTTTCTTCTCTTGGTTATTCTGTGCCTTAGGTTTGAGTAAATTCCTCAAGACCATAAAATTGATACAAGCTTGGCTTTAAGTATTATTACAGTCATAGACTTAGTAATTATATTATTGAGATACCTCCTTAGAAATGTCATTGTCGCCTTCCTTTCTTGTACCTGCCAGTTTATGTTCAGTATTTTATGTTGTGTTTCAATTTTTCTCACCTATTCTACTGAGAGACAGTTCATTGGTATACCAAATTCCCACTGAAGTCTTGCCTTTTCAAGGTTTGGAAGCCCTCCTCTTCTTAAGCACATAAAAATAATAATTACATTCCTGAGAACTCTGTACTTATATGCAGATGTTTACTTATGTTGGTTTGCTTTCATTATTTGCACTATTCTTCCAGTATGCCAATTAACATGTGTGGCAGGGTATATGTGTTAGAATATTTAAAATGTTGAACTCTTACAACTAATCCAGAAATAAAATTGCATTTGCCAAATGGAAGAAGTCTAGTTTCTTATTTGTCTCTGGGTTTGTACATTATAGTAATAGTTAATCTGCTAAAGTACACAGATTTCTACGTTTTTCTTCAATAACAGACCTACTTGCAAGAGATTGCCACCCTTGTGGAATTCAGAATTCACTCTGCACCGAAAGCAATTTTCCCTTGGCTGAGCTGCAGTAATCTTTTACAGAGTTTTTTGGGGCAAATCTCATAATTTGATAGTTGGCAAGCTACCACAGTTGCTACAGTGTATTTTTTTGCTAGGTCTTAGCGTGCATCTACCCAGGCCAGTAGACTTCCTAACCACAAACTAATCTAAATGCTGAATGTATCAAGATCAGCACCAGAAGGAAATTGCAGGAGGATGTACTTCTCCTGCTGCTTTGGTTCCCAGTTGCCTACGTACTGCAACCATCTGGACCGTATGACAATGCATCAGAGAGATAGGTGGTGCTATCCAGTGTTCTCTCAAGGGCTGCTCAGATGTTTTGTACCAGCAAATAGAGAGCCACAAAAATGCACCAGTAAAGAACTTCAGTGCTTGATTGTGCTAAACACTGTCTCAGCACACTAAGAAACATAACACAGAACTATTTCTACTGGTGTTATTTGTTCAGACAGAAGGAGCACAGAAGATTGAGCTGGGAGATCTGTGGGAGTACCAGCAGTTGAGTTGTAGCCTTCTTAGTCACAGAATTGTCTTCTCCCCATCTACCCTGTTAACTTGATTTGCTTGGATACAGCTTAAAATGCATGAGAGGCAGTTGAGGAAATAGTTCCTGCTCAGTACTACAGGTATATTAAGAAAATGTTGCTTTGAGAGTTTAACCTGTGTTTCTCTAGGTAATGTAATGAGGTGGTGTCAGGAGAAAGGAGCCTGACACTTCTGAAATTTTAAAATTACCTTAAGCCATTAGCCAGGTAGTTTTTTAACTGTATTTCTGATTTTCAGTGCCCTAGAACTGCATCCCATCTTTCATTTTCCAGCTAGCTCAAGGGGCTGGAAAATGCTACAAGAAAATACACTTTTTAAGGAAGTTCACTTTCAGTTACTTTGATGTGTGTGAATGGTGTCCCAGGTGTAAATAATTTAAACAGGGGTGCCCATTTTGAGTTTTTACTGCATTGTTCTTTGGTGGCTGTCAGTCATTACATATGCTTGTGCCTTACCCCTGTTCAACAAGGCCAGCTTTGAAAAGATAACAGTAAGAGTAAATGGGACTTTCTCTTGTTCAGCCAATGCTCAGTTTCCTTTGGGAGTATGGAAACTGTGACCTGATGCACAAAGCAGGAAGAAGTCCAAGTACTTCACTGATAGTATCATGACTGCTTCAAACCACTTTTAAGAGAAGATGGTTTTTTGTTTTTCATTTGCAGTAATCTCAGAGGGAATGTGTGTAGTTTCTCATAGCTGTTTGTTTGGTTAAGATGGCCAAACCCTGCTATCTCTCTCTATGGGATAATAACCCAGAGGAAGACTTTCTCAGAACTGTTAACAACCATTCTTATTCTCTCAGGAATTTCTTGGCCACGTTGTCTTTAGCAAACCCCGCCCCAGCTGCTGAACTGGAGCATGAATTACATTAGGGACTTGTGACTTTCACATCTGCTCTGTGAGCCCGTGCGTGCCTGTGTGCAGGCAAAAAATGTGAGACCCTATGGATCAGAACCATGGCATGCATTACAGGAAATGAAATACCATGGTTTATTGCTCATAAGGACATTAGCATAGGGAGGTCTTTGATCTATTTATTACTGCCATTCTGCTAACTCATAATTTAGCAACTATTTATCACATGGCCATTGCATCTTTTAGAAACTGTGCATACATTTCAGAGAAGCTATGGTTTTTTTTAAAGAATGCTCTATTCACAAACAAATGTACAACATAAGGAGGGGTACATACACCAGTAAGGTTTTTTAAAATCAACTTAATTTGAGGAGCACACATGTACAAATAATCTCAGCACTTCACAAATATGAGACATAATCTCTGAATATATGTAAATTGTTGTAATCCCTCTCACCATAAGAAAAAAAAGAGTGGAAAATCACAGCTTTGTGTCAAAGGATGCATATCTGGTTGTATGGAGCTTGATATGCAGAAGTTTATAGAGATCCTCCTGTTTGCTTCAGCTGTATGTTGACCCTGATAAAGTGTGGTGAGACCTTGGGTAGCTGCCGTGGAATTCTTTGCCACCTTTTACCATAGAAATATCCCCCTGTGATCTCTGTTGATATGAACAGATATCTTCATACTATCTAAGGACCAGGTCTAGTGTAGAAAAGCCAGTGTCTTAAATCTAAGAACCTGACCCTTAGGATTATAAATCAGATTAGTCCCTTGCAATCAATTTATGATAAGATAATAAGTGTTTGGTCCTCATTCTGAGTTTGACCTTCAGTGTTTTTCTGTTGTTTTCCAATTTTATCTTTTGCCCTTATCTTTGTTGTCAGGAGGTTTCTGGGTTTTTGACTGAAATTTCTGGAACTGATTTCAAAATTTCTTTTCTACAGACTTGAGATCTGATGTGGCTCCAGGTGGAGTCTCCTGCTCACAGGTCATGCAAATTTTTTAAGGAGATTGACTAGGATGCTTTCTTTCCTTCTTCCTGGGGGAGGCATCTAGAGGTTTGCCTCTGCTGGAATACTGGGGGCCTCTGCTGGAATACTTCATCCTCTGTCACTAGATCCACATTTGATGTGTCATTGAAGGATACAGATAATAGCACATCACTTTGAAGAGAATCAGGCTCTACTTATATTTGCAACAACATAACTTGAGTTATTTTTGCTCTCTACTGAAATTATTTAGGATGAAAGAGGAAGTGGAGACAGGCATAGGAAAAGCAATCAGTAAATTTTCTGTTCTCTAGAAAGGAAGTTTTTGACATGTGAAGCTTCAGAGGATCATGGCTTAAGTTAAGAAAAAAAAGTGTTCTCCAAGCTGTGATGATGGATGCATACCATAATGGTGTAAAAGCCACTAGAAAGAAGTTTTGAGGAATTAAGTAAGTTGCAGACTGGCAGCTCTTGGATATATAAAGCTGAATAGCTGATGTTGAACTTGGAATGTTTGTCTACATGGAAAAAACGTGGAGTCTGCTGTCCTGCAGAGAGTGGCTTCATGATTCACAAAACCTGCTACATGATTAGCAATGGGTATCCTTTGCACACCTGAATTGTGCTTGATACACGTTTGCCACTTGGAAAGCAATCATGGACTGGAACAAGCAAAGCACTTAAGCACATGCTTAAATTAAAGCATATGAGCAAACTCAACCCATTGACATAGGTTGAGTTCAATAATCTTACTCAGGCTTAAATATTTTGCTGGATGGAGGCCTGAAGTCAAAATCTGAAGGCAATTGATACCTTAGTCCTGGACATGCTTAGTATGGAAACTTGTCAATGCTAAAGTTCTAGTATTCATACTGAATTTTAGTTCCTCCTCATTTTCTCAAATAATCTTTAAAGGTTATTTCTCCCACCAGCTCCCACTGCTCATTTTCTTGGTTTGTCCTCATCTTATCTTTCTCACCATTTCTCTTGCAAACATCAGTAAAACTCATTAGTCTTCAATAGCTATAACAGAGTTTGTTTATATGCTGCTTAGAGTAAAGTTTGGGAGAAAGAGACTGAT